TGTTCAGAGAGCCCTGGGGCGGGCAGAAGGGGAGGCTGAGGCCTCGGGGCACGGAGGGGGTGAGGTCTAGGACTCCAAGATGGGGTCGGAGCAGATGTGGTCAGAGGATCGCGCCGCATCGCCGATGCATCGACGATGCGGCTCGATGCGGAGCCCGGTTTGCTTCACTCCGACGTCGCCGATGCATCGCCAGCGTCGCTGGCGCATCGCCAACGCATCGTCGATGCATCGGCAACGCATTGCACGATCCTCCGACCCAACAATACAACAATTGACAATATCAAACTTGTGATCTGTATGATCTGATGAAACTTGTTTGCCAGTGGTACGTGTGAGCTTTCGCTGGTATCGCCGGCTCTTCAATCTGGCTTGGCAGCTATGGTACGGCCCTCCCTCCTGCCAGCACGCGCGCGCAGGAGCGAAGAGGGCGGAGAAAGGAAGGCCTCTAGGCGGGGGGCCTCCCCACCCAGGAGGGGGGCCCCCCATCTAGAAGAGGGGGAGGAAGGAAGGCCTCAAGGAGGGGGGAGGAAGGAAGGAGGAGGATGGGGAGGAAGGAGGGGGGCCTCCCCATCCAGGAGGGGGAAGGGAGGAATGCATCTGGGAGGGGTGCCTTTTCCCTCTGGAGGCGCCAGGGCGCGAGTGGCGCGCCCCGCGCCGCAGGGGAAGAGAGAGCCCGGTGGCGAGGGAGATCCGTAGACGGGGGGAGAGGCGCGCATCGGGGGCGGCCAAGAGGGGGCGAGGACTGGGGGGGAGATCATGGCGGGGGCCACGATACCTCCCCGGGTTTCATGGCGCCTCTTATTGTTTCAGTGCGTCCCCGCCCCCCCCCCCCTGGGCCGCGCACATGCCGCCGGCCATGATTTGCGCCCCCCCCTCTTGGACGCCCCCCTCTCGGCCGCCCCCGAACGGGGGGAGAGGCGCGCGCGGCGCGCGGGCTCTCGGTTGTTTCCTCGGGCCTGTTCGCCCTTCTCGTCGACCATCGAAAAGCAAACAGCGGCATACAGAGGAGGCCCATGCCAAGTAACACCCTGCTTGTCTCCAGGGTGCCCTGGCTTTCTTGGGCCTGCGATGGTTCTGCTGTGGAGGCGCGACGTGCCCGCGCCACGAATCGATGGACCTCCTGGGGTCTCGGGGCTGGGTTTCTTGTAGAAGGTTTTTGTGGTCGGGCTCCCACTGTAGACGGGGGGAGAGGCGCACACGGCGCGCGGGCTCCCGGTTGTCTCCTCGGGCCTCTTCGCCCTTCTCGTCGACCATCGGAGAACGAAAAACGGCATAAGCCTGAACTGTTGGCGCTCCGCGCGGATTTCTTGGATCGGCGCCTGGGCACCCCTGGCGGTGCCTCCGGCGCCGCCCCTGGCGCGCGGAGCGCCAACAGTTTATTTTTAGTTTTTTTTCTTCTAGATCACGCTCCTACGTATATCCGATACTGGCAGCCAGCCGCATCCCTGCGCCTCTCGTCCCCTGTCGTCCCCTGAAGCATCCAGACAGGGTGCAGATGCTCTAGCCCGGCCGACCTACAGAAATCATGCATTCCAGCGGTGGTGGCCATTTCCATGTTTGGCCAGATTGGTGACGTTGCGGGATCATGCTCCAAGACGTTGTGTTGTCAGGTACAGTCAACCCGCATAGTAAGGATGAGCGACGTTCCAAGGCTACCCCTGCATCTTTGTCCCTTCGGCCCATCCTTAGCCGCTTTCGCTGGCCGCGCCCCGCTCGCAGAGTGTCGACATGGCCTACCAAGGCCCTTGCATCCTTGCCGCGCATCCTTACTATCCGGATTGACTGGATTCTTCCCAGGGGGTATTGCTGGATGGTCTTATCTTGCTTTCAGGCCTGGCGGGCACACGATCGCAGATTCGAATTCCGGGATGGCGCGCCGCTTCTCCTGCACACCGAGGAGGGCACCGGCTTACGCAGCGCTACCAGAGTCGCGGCTGGAAGCTCCGAATGAGACGAGCGGTATTCCTCACCCCGCCGCGCGCCATCTCCGGAGCTGCGCGCGCCACCGTTTGGCGCACGTCTTCCCATGGCGCCCTTGAGGGCGCGAGGTCATTCGCGCTTCGCGGTTCGGCTCGCTCCGATTCTTTCTCGTTATCCTGTTCTCTCGGCGGCGAGCGAGGGGGGGAGGCGAGAAGGAGACGGCCTTCTCAGAAAGTTCGGCAGTTTCCCGGCCTTTGAGAAGTTTCTGAGCCTTACCTGGAGGCACAGAAAACTTCTCAGAAGGCCGGAGGGCTTCTGAGAAGTCCCGCCGCCTTCTGAGAAGGCCTTCTCCCTCTCACTTCCCCCCTCGCCCGCCGCCGTTTCTCTCCCGGGGGCGGCGCGAGAGCGGGAAGTTCTTCGCGCTTCGCGCAGCGCGAAATTCTTGCGCACCTGCTCGCTCTAGGCCTCCTAGATGGGATCGGAGCAGATGGGGGCAGAGGATCGCGCCGCATCGCCGATGCATCGCCGATGCGGCTCGATGTGGGGCTCGATTTGCTTCACGTCGACGTCGCCGATGCATCGCCGACGTCGCCTGTGCCTCGCCGATGCCTCGCCGATGCATCGCCGTTGCATTGGCGATGCATTGGTGATGCGGCGCGATCCACCGACCCCATCTGCTCGGACCCCATCTGGGAGCCCTCCACCATCGGGATGCACTGGGGCTCGAGGGTGAGCAGGCCACGCCGTGGCACTCGCCGTGCTCCCGGGCCGTCGTCGCGCACGGGTGGGCAGCACCGGCGGTGGGAGGGGTGGAGGCGGCAGAGGGGGCGCGAGGGAGACGAGGAGAGGAAGAGGAAGAAGAGGAATAATAATAGTAATTATATTATTAAAACATAATAATACTACTACTACTAATATTAATAATAATAATAATAATAATAATAATAATAATAGTAATAATAATTGTAGTAATAATAATAATGATGATATTAACAATGATAATAATAATAACAATAATAATAATAACAACACTAATAATACTAATAATCATAATAATAATAAGAAGAAGAAGAAGGAGAAAAAGAAGAAGAAGAAGAAGAAGGAGGAGGAGGAGGAGGAGAAGAAGGAGAAGAAGAGCAGCGCCTGCGGCGGACCTGTCTCATGGCGTCTGGCTGGCGCCCTCAGCAGGGCGGCGCTTGGGGCTTCTCTCCTCCCCTGCCGCTGTCGCCCCGTGCGGAGGCGCCCGAGAGGCGCGCAGCCTCCCAGGAGAGGAGAGGAGAGGAGAGAGAGAGAGAGAGAGGAGAGGAGAGGAGAGGAGAGGAGAGGAGAGGAGAGGAGAGGAGAGGAGAGGAGAGGAGAGGAGAGGAGAGGAGAGGAGAGAGAGAGAGAGAGAGTCGGGTGGGCGGGAGGAGGCCTGGGGCGCTCGCTCGTGTGGCCCCAGAGGTTCTCCGCAGGCCGCCCGCGGCGGCTGCCGCCGCTCGCCGCCCCGCGGTGCGGGCACGCGTCCTCGCCGCCCTGCAGGGCCATCTGGCTCGGGCCGGCATCGCGGCGCCCGAGCACCTCGGGAGGGGCGACTCTCAGGAGAGGAAAAAACACAGACACAATTAATCCTCGATCCCCCAGAAAATATGGGAGAATATGGGAAGTGGGGGGGAAGACAGAAACCCAGCAAATATGGGAAAATATGGGGAATATCTTTCTTTGTGTGTATTCATGTGTGTGCCCCAGGGCCCCTTCAGACTCGGAAGCTGGGCGAGGGCTGGCAGATCTGTGGCTGCTGCAGTGCTCTTCCCGGAAGGAGAACAACAAATTCCCAGAATAGACCTCGGCGCACTGAAGAATGAACGGGCTGCTTCCCGGAAAAACAAGAAGCAGTTTTCCAGGGCTCCGTTTTAGCAGCCGCGGGTTTGCCAGCCTTCGCTTGGCTTCTCAGCGACGGCGCGCGCGCGCAGGGGTCCGGGGGCTGGCTGGGGCGGCCGGGGCGGCCTGCGAGGGGGAAGGTGTCCAAAGTCGGCCGGTTGCGTTTCTGTTCTGCAAGATCGATCTGGTGCGCGTTCAAATGTCTCGACATTTGAGTGTTCCACTTGGGCCCCTGGGAATTTCTGGAATTGTGTGGCCTCGTCGCTATTGTGGCACCAGGATTGGTGAGAAATTATCTGACGCCTGCAAGGAAGAGTGAATCGAACCGCTGACGAACAACATGCGACATTGACTAGCTTGACATATCGGGTGTGCATATGTCTATGTGATCATATATTTATATGTATATCTACATATACATATATATATATATATATATCGCCAGCGTACCTGGGTGCTTTGTATGAAGCCTTTTGGATGTTCAGTTGGGATCTCGTGGGAGGCTTCTCGGCGGCCTCTTGGAGGCAGTTTGGACGCCTCTTGGCGGCCGTTTGGGGTCCTCTTTTTGGGCCTCGTGGAGCCTCTTGGAGGCGGTTTGGACGCCTCTTGGGGGACCGCTCGGGCGCCTCTTCAGGCCTCTTGGGGCGGAAGGCTCAGGCTTGTCGCGTTCTCGCCGAAAAGGCGAGAACGCGACAATCCGTCAAAAACCTAAGCAAAATCAATGGTGTTGGCCTCTTGGGGCCCTCTTGGGAGGCCTTTTGGAGGCCTCTTTGGGCGTCGTGGGGGTCTCTTCGGCCATCTTGGGGCAATCTTGGACGTCTTGGAGCGATCGTTCAGCGACTCGGGGCTTGCTTGGACCTTTTTGGGCGCTTCTTGGGGCCCTCGTCGCCCGTCTTGGGGTTATGGCGCGAAAAGTGTATGCAACAACACACGCGGCGCGGGAACCCAGGAGAATCGCGACAAGCCCCAAGAGATTTGGGTTGAGGGGCTCCGAACCTTTTTTGAAGATTCCACAGGAGTAAGGACTGAGGCTTACAGGGGTAGTGAGAGGATCTGAGGACACGCCCACTGCGTGCCCAGAGGCACGGTGGCGGCTACATATACACAGATATAGATATACATATAGATTCTGTATACATATATACATTATGTATATATATAATGTGTATACTTATATATTAATCATATTTACGTGCACACAAACATATTCATTTATCAGA